GTCGTGTCGAGTGAGTGAGTGTGTGTGTGTGCTCTCACTCTCTCCCTCTCTCTCTCCTCTCCCTCGGCTCACCCTCAGCCTCACTCCCGTTACAGCAATGTTTTGCAGAACAAAAAGGGCCAAGACCCTTGTCTGCATTTGTCAAGACCCCTCTTATCTGCCGTCTTTTCTTCCTTTTTTCTTTTCTTTTCTTTTCTTTTCTTTTCTTTTTTAGTAAATTTGCCATCTTTTTAAACTTTTTGCTTTTCTTTTCTTTTCTCTTTTAGTTAATTCAGCATATATCGAGTGTCTGCATGTGTCCTCTGAAGCTCTCCTCTAAGCCCTTTAAGTGATTGAAGCCTATCGAACTATGGTTGTTTCTGTGGTGTTTGGACAGACACGGAAAGAGGTGCTTCTGAAAGAGCTCCTTCCATCTCAGGAGTATGGATTGCTGATGAATCACTCTTCGCAACTGGCAGCGATCGACTTCCTGGTCTCTGTAGAAAGCAATGTTTTCTTATCTACTTTCGACGGCAACATGGCGAGGCTTGTGGAAGGCCATCGCAGGTATGATTGACTAAGCGATTATTGCTTTTCTTGCTCTATTGTTCCTTCTTCTTCTTCTTCTTCTTCTTCTTTTTGTTTTCTTTTTTTCGCTCTATCGTTGCTTTCATTTATTACTTTTCTGTTTAGTTTTGCAGCTTTTGATTTTTCCGCTCCCTTGTCGTAAGTAACCTTGGTTGCCAACCGGGCCCGCCTGGGTTACCTTGGCTGCCCGGTGGCCCGGCCGGCCAAGGGCCAGTGAAGGTCCCTGTGAAAGAAGAGGAAAAGAAAATCCAAAACACCCGAAAAAAAAATGTTGTGCAGAAAATAAACTGAACAACTCCTTAAAAAAAAAAAAAAAAAAAAAACTGAACAACTTTTGCCTCAGGGTTAGATCGCAATGTGGGTTGGCTGGGCAGGGGTTGGGACGTAACTTTGGATGAGCAGGGGAGGGACATTAGCATGTAGCGCTGGTCGTTTCTTTTTTCTCGGCAGGGCGGGTTGACAGGGGTTGGACGTAACTTTCGAAGAGCAGGGGGGACAGTACCATGTAGTGCCGGTCGTTTCTTTTTTTTCTTTGTGGCTGCTTTTTGACATGGAACTTGTGGTGTGCGGCGGTGTGGTGTGCGGCGGTGTGGTGTGCGGGGGTCCAGTATTGGGGCTTGGCCGGCGATGCCGCGCCCTTAAACAGGACCGCGGAATCTTTGTAAGGGACGGGAGGCCCGATTCCTGGGATTGCAAAAAAAGGAAGGAGGCCAAAAAAGTATATATATATTTGCCAAAGGGGAAAAAAAAAGTTTTTTTTATTATTTAAATTTATTTTTGTTATTTTTTTTTTTTTTTTTTTTTTTAATTTGTTTTTGCCTGGGCTGGCCAAGTGGTCCCGGGCCACGCCGGTGACATAGCACGTAAAATGAAATGACTCTATTTATGATTTATGATTTATCCCTGTATATCTATAGGGAGTGGGATAGGAAGTGAGGCTGAGAGTAGCCAGAGTCCACAGGTGCTGGGCGCATATCTGTGGTGTCCATAATGAAGGACGAGAAAAGGCATTCATGCACACACACACACACACACACACACACACACACACACACACACACACACAGAGAGAGAGAGAGAGAGAGAGGGAGAGAGAGAGTCCTCAGGGTGAGAGTTCATCCAGTCCTGGTTGTCGTGCTGACGGCCATAGCCGCCCGGTCTGATGTATGTGAAATCAGTCTTGCAAATTCACACTCAAACATGCATGCAACAGATGAGAATAACTTGGCGCTGTGCACCCAACTCAAACTCGGAGATATGGTAGCTTGCAACTCAACTCAAWTCCAAGTCYACTTCAGTTGACTATGGCGCTGGGCGCCCACACTTACACGTTCGACTCAGAGTTCACACGCAACTCGACTCCGGATCACCCTGGATACCATGCACGCCAA